CCTGCTCAGAAAATAAGTTTTCTGTAGAAAACCGTCCTTTCTGGTTTTCACCAAGACCAGTTAAGTCGTTAGAAGACCTCTTGGAGGTCTTTACACCTAGAGGATCTCCTCGAGTTGTTTTACACCTAAAAGACCTCCTTGAGGACTTCTACACCAAAAAGACCTCCTTAAATGATTAGTTGGCAAGACCTCGAGGTCTTTTACATCTAGACCTCTTCGAGGTCTTTTACAACTAGAAGATCTCCTCGAGAAGGTCTCCTCCTCGTCAGAGGGTCTTAGGAAAATTTCTCAATAAAAAATCCTCGTCAGAGGGCTCTAAGGAAAAGAATGGCTTAGAAAGATTCTCTGTAGAAAAATTCTGCTCAGATGATGAGGCAATGTTTTCCACAGAAAACACTTCTTAGATGCACTGGCCTTTCTGGTTTTCACTAAGTTCAATTAGTTCATTAGAAGACCTCCTCCTCGAGGTATTTTACACCTAGAAAACCTCTCCGAGGTCTTTTATACCTAAAAGACCTCCTTGTGGGCTTCTACGCCTAAAAGAACTCCTTAAAGACTTTTACACCTAGAAGATCTCCTAGAGGTATTTTACTCTTAAAAGACCTTCTCGAGGTCTTTAACACCCAAAAAACCACATGGAGGTCTACTACACTCAGAAGACATACTAGAAGTCTACTGCACTATACCGAGAAGACCTTCTGAAGGTCTATACTGAGAAAACTTTCTCGAGGTCTTTTACCTCTAGAAGACCTTCTCGAGGTCTTTATCACCCAGAAGATCACATATAGGTATACTACAGAAGGCATCCTAGACGTCTACTGCACTATACCGAGAAGACCTTCTTAAGGACTGCTATACCTCCTCAAGGTCTTTTACATCTAGGCCTCTTCGACATCTTTCACACCTAGATGATCTCCTCGTGGTCTTTTACACTTCCTCCTCGTCAAAGGGCTCTGAGTAAAATTTTTCAATAAAAAATCCACGTCGGAGAGCTCCGAGAAAAAGAGGGGTCTTAGAAAAGATTCTCTGTAGAAAAATCCTGTTCAGATTATGAGGCAATGTTTTCTTCAAAAAACCCTCCTTAAATGCACTGGCCTTTCTGGTGTTCACTAAATTCAGTTAGTTCGTTAGAAGACCTCCTCCTCGAGGGCTTTTACATCTAGAAGACCTCTTCGACCTCTTATACACCTAGAAGACCTCCTCGAGGTTTTTTACACCTAAAATACATCCTTGAGGACCTCTTCGAAATATTTTACACCTAGCAGACCTCCTCGAGGTTTTTTATACCTAATACACCTCTTTGAGGACTTCTAAACCCAAAAGACCTCCTTGAAAGTCTTTTACACCTAGAAGACCTCCTCGAAAACTCTTCCTCCTCAGAAGTCATCCTAGAGGTCTACTGCACTATACCGGGAAGACCTTCTTAAGGACTGCTATACAGAGAAGACCTCCTCGAGGTCTTTTACATCTAGATCTCCTCTTCGAGGTCTATTACACCTCCTCCTCCTCGTCAGAGGGTCTTAGGAAAATTTTTCAATAAAAAATCCTCGTCAGAGTGGCTCTGAGTAAAAGAGGAGTGTTAAAAAAGACGGTAGAAACATCCTGCTGAAATGATGAGTCAATGTTTTCTGCAGAAACCCCTCCTTAGATGCAATGGCCTTTCCGGTTTTCACCAAGGTCAGTTAGTGTCTTCATAAAAACTTGGAATTTTCCATTCTCAATTGAGGTTTTTGTTTGGCTACGTCACTGTTTGTGACAGCTCAATTCCGAAATTAATCATTCTAAATAATTTCTCTTTTCAATTTTTGTAACAAATCCAAAAATCCGAATCCAAAAAAATTGTAATATTATGAATTTCTGTTTCTATATTTTTTTCTCGAACAAAAAATAAATGAATCAATATTCAAATAATGCCAACTAATCATCCGGACTATTTTAAGAATCTGTATTTATGTAGGTATGTAGCGTAGAGGTAAATTGCTCATAACAATGACAACGAAATAAATTACCAACTATTATAAATGAAACAAAAACGTGAATCATTTAAAAAAAAACCTTAATATGCCAGCGAGCTTTAGTGAGTGAATGCCTGATTCAATGATTAAATAATAAAAAAATAAAATTGAAAACAAAGCGATTGAGATAATATGTGATTCACAAAGACGCCAGTCAATTTAACGCTGGCGACAATCATATGACAAGAAAAAAACGAGAGAGAGAGAGAGAGAGACCAATATAGGATACGTCACAATGTATGAACTGAACTAACTGTCTGACCGTCCCAGGAACAAATATTAAATTGTCGACATTGTGTGGCATAAATCACTTTTAAAATACAAACAACAATCTTTCGAAAATATTAACCTCCAAAAGAGAAAATTTTCAAAAGTTCGGTTAACACTTTCTTTAAATGGGGTCGCAACAGGTCAAAATACTCTACAGAATTATTAGACATAAAATTCTACAATAGTAAGACCTCCTCGAGGCCTTCTATATCGAGAAGTCATCCTAGAGGTCTTTTATACCGAGAAGACCTCCTCGAGGATTTCTACACGGAGAAGACCTCGTTCAGGTCTTCTATATAAAAAAGACCAGGTTTTCTATACCGAGAAGACCTCCTCGAGATCTATAAAATTCTAATAAAACAATTAATAATTTTTCTGCAACAAAGCAAAACACATTGAAATTCTGATGACAAAGCGATGAATTCATAGATTTGTTAATCTTATTTGTTATTAATAATCATTTAAATTGGTTTTTGAATCATCAACGATTGGAAATTTTCAAAAGATTGTGTTCTGTTGAAACATTTATTTTTTAATTGGAAATCTTTTTGATTCATGACAAAGTAGTGAGACATGATTTATTGACCTTGAAATTGACTGACACAGCTGATGAAAATACTTTCTGAGATATAATTTTTGTTTTGCAAATATTTTTCAAGGGCATTTTGAGATCAGAGGGAGAAAAACTGGAGAAAAAAGTATGACAACATTTTTATGAATTAATAAAAGTTAAAAACTTTATAAACTAAAAAATATATATGTGGGTGCTATAGATATGTTGCTTCCAGGCTGAATTCGGTCATATGTGCCAAAGTCCAATGAATTTGGGCTGATATAAACCATAGACGTAAAATCGGATTGAGATATACATGGGAGCTACATTCAAATCCGAGTTATTTCTGAGCGATGTTTTACATTACAGCTACAGTTAAACTTCAACCGATTATCACCCATTTCATGAGGGTTCGTCCTTGGGCCAAACATGATTTGTGGAAAATGTTCTCACTATCGGACAATAAATGCGACCTGAACTTTACAAAAATCCATCCACAGATAGACGGACGTACAGGCATCAATCGATGCAGAATATCACCTCATTCACGCAATGTCGTAATTCAAAAAAATGTGGAAATTTCTAGGGGGTTTCGGTGTTTTTCATTACAATTCTTCTTTGTGGTTGGACATGTTGATGTTCGCTTATGTTTGCAATGTTAGTGGGCAAAACTTTTTGAAACCCCCCACAAATTTTGAGATGCTCTTTAATAACACACACAAAAACGCTGATATATTCCACCTCTATGTCCCACAGTAGAACCACAACATTAAACCTTGTCGAATATCGGACACCCAGACAGCCAACTTGACAGGGAGAGAAGAATTTTCGAAGGGCTGAGACGTTCAAATAGGCTGGCAGGCAGGTTGGCTGGTTGACCGCAAAAAAGCTCAGTCAACAATAAATGGTATACTGGAAAACTAATACACGCTCCAAATTCTTCAAAGGTTGCAGGTTGCATGCATCTCTTAAAGTTTAAGTAACAGGTGTCTGGGGCAGATGACTGATTTTTCTATAGAAATGAATCTACCTCAGCCTGAATCCGGCTGACGATCGATTTTTTTTTTCTATAGAAAAAAATGCCTCATCTTGAGGCAGAGGACTGATTTTTTTTATATAGAAAAAAAATTCCTTCAGCTGAGGCTCGATTTTTTTTTCTATAGAAAAAAAATGGCCTCAGCTGAGGCTCGATTTTTTTTTCTATAGAAAAAAAATGGCCTCAGCTGAGGCTCGATTTTTTTTCTATAGAAAAAAAAATGGCCTCAGCTGAGGCTCTATAGAAAAAAAGGGCCTCAGCTGAGGCTCGATTTTTATTCTATAGAAAAAAAAGGGCCTCAGCTGAGGCTCGATTTTTATTCTATAGAAAAAAAAGGGCTTCAGCTGAGGCTCGATTTTTATTCTATAGAAAAAAAAGGGCCTCAGCTGAGGCTCGATTTTTATTCTATAGAAAAAAATGGCCTCAATTGAGGCTCGATTTTTATTCTATAGAAAAAAATGGCCTCAGCTGAGGCTCGATTTTTTTTTCTATAGAAAAAAATGGCCTCAGCTGAGGCTCGATTTTTTTTCTATAGAAAAAAATGGCCTCAGCTGAGGCTCGATTTTTTTTTCTATAGAAAAAAAATTCCCTCAGCTGAGGATCGATTTTTTTTCTATAGAAAAAAAATCGAGCCTCAGCTGAGGCCCTTTTTTTTCTATAGAGCCTCAGCTGAGGCCATTTTTTTTTCTATAGCTGTTTTCTATATATAGAAAAAAATGGCCTCAGCTGAGGATCGATTTTTTTTCTATAGAAAAAAAATTCCCTCAACTAATGATCGATTTTTGTTTTCTATAGAAAAAAATTGACTCAGTTGAGTCAAAAAAATCGATCCTAGACAATTCTGCGTTTAAGGCCAAATATTCCAATATTTATTTAATTATTTTTTATTTATTTGAACTGATAACAACTAGGCTGATGTTTTCATACTGAACTCAGCATGTTCGAAAAATAAAAATATTATTATTATCTGCATTTCCGAAATCTCGCCTAATTTTCACACATTCGAATTCACACATTTTCTTTTGATTTCACAATAAAAGTGAAATTTCAAATATGCACGTATTTTATTTTGCTTAACACCTATTTTGCAATAAAAAGAAATTGAAAAGCAATGGCAAATGAATGGAAGTGTTAGCTCAGAGAAGTCAATAACTCACTCGATCAGTCAGTCAGTCAGGCAGCCAGCTGGTCAATGTCGTAATAGAATCAATGCAAATTCATGAAAAATTTACACAAAACCCGTTATGGCCATGGCCATAGATAGCGCAACGCAACGAAGAAATGGCCATCGATCCATGGCTCGGGAAGTGTTTATGAATTGGACACGCTGCTTACTGAGTCAATTATCACATTGAACTTGAAGATGTGCCGGACAATGACAATCAGAGCAAGGGCCCACTACCAAATGGATGGTCTGTCTGAACCGCTTTGTTGTTGCTGGAGGAAAAGCGTTCAAAAAATAGTGCATATAAAAAGCATCGGACAAATTACAAATCAGTAGCAGTTACATTGTGTCAAAGACAAAGTGAAGAAGTCTCAAAGGAGTTATACGACTCAAAAATCGAAAAAGAAAAGGATCCAAAGGAATAAAAATTGTGTTGAGAGAGAAAAGAAAATACAACATGAATAAGAATACATTGTGGTTAATGTTTGTGCTTTTGGCCATGTATTTGGCATTGGTGTTTTGTGAAGAACAGCAACAACAACAGCAGGAAGAAAATTCCGAAAATGCTCTTGCAGACGCTGCCAAAGATTTGGTGAAAAGTGAATCGACAGCATTGTTCCAAGATGAGGCCAGAACCAGAAGAAGACATCGCCATCATTTGTGTAAGTTTTTAAGGAGAAATATCATGACTGAGATTCGGAAACCATAAAAGTTCCCAAGTCGACATGTATTTCTGGGACTTAGAATTTAGTTCTCCAAGTTTTCGGACTTCTCGAAGGTTATGGATTTTTCCGATTATGCTGCTATAATTTCTATTTATGTAAAAAGTTTTGGATTTCCCCAGGACTGTCAATTTTTTCTACAGAGCAATGTTTGTTCCATCATAGAAAATATTGCATTGTCTCCAATAGAAATTTTCTTCGACAACAAAAAAAAACACCTCCTCCGGTTTTATCACAACTGGTTTTATGACAAAGAATAACTTTTTTGTTTTTTTTTCCTCCGGAAAATATTCTGGTTTTCTACTATAAAAAATATAGAATACCTGTTTTCCCTTGGAGCAAGTGTCACCAGCACATTGGTCTGTGTGTTCCACTATAGTCTATAATAGTATCCCATTGGAGAAGCTCCACAGTAAAGGTTTCCCATAGCAAAAATGTTACAGTGCCCTAACACGGTGACTTGTATAAATTGCAAGTTTCAGAGTCCGCTAAGCAGGCTTCTAAGAATTTTTCTCACATAAAGAGTCCCATCAACCCTTAAAACTGAAACTATGTATGTCTGTTGTCCAACGACGTTTCCCCCAGGACGAGTTTGTCATCGTAGGATTCCATTTTTGGTACTTAAAGTTGTACCATAAACTCTAAATGCAAAGTTTGACCTAGAAATCAGAAAATTAGGATGAGGACAAAATCTGGTGCGAAGGGGTGGAAAACGATGTATATGGACATATGTACCAAATTTGTACAATTTGTAAAAAAATAAAATTAAAAAAGTACTTAAGAGTACAAATCTAAAATGCCGTGCCGGTTCAATCTGACAATGTTTTGTGAAAATCGTTTTCTGGGTATTAAAAAGTCAAAAAAAGGTACAAACATGTACAAACGGCTAAAAAGTACGAAAACAGTGTTTTGAAATTTAAAATTCTGATCTTTCAGAGTCAGAATTGAGGCATGAAATAATGTACAATTTTTGGAAACTAGTACTACGATATACTAAAAATTACTAAATTATAGCTGGTTCAGTTTATATCAATTTCGTACTCTTCGTATGTTACGAATATCCAAATACGATCCACTCAACCCAACACTCTAGAGGGAGAGGGTATATATCATTTGATACGGCCAAAAGTGCCTCATCGAAATAACGTCTAGGTCTCTTTGAGCCAAATCCGTTTCATGATATTTGAAGGCGATCTAGTGGTGCCCGTCCGTCCATATGTCTGGCTGGCGCACGATAAGTCTCGAAGGAAGTATCTGATTTGGTCCAAATTTGGTACATCGTAATATATATAAACTTATATATAATAAAACTTAGATCGAGTTCGAAGAACGACATCTGATATCTACCCCACAAAAGGTCAAAATTTTGCAAATAAAATAATTTGCCTCACAGAACAATAAAGGATCCTCTAATTTTGCAAATCCTATTATTTTTATTAGTGCTAGGTGAGGTGCGAAAATGGACAATGTCGGTCCACTTCATCAAGTACCTCCTACACAAAGGGTCAAAATTTTGAATAATTATAACTCTACCTCAAGATCCACACATCTCCATATTTCTTCCAACACAAGATCTGGTAGAAAGGCGAAATATATCGAACCACTACTTCGGGTACTTCCCACACAACGGGTCATATATCTCATGAAATGCGAAATAAGCATCTGAAGCATTCCTAACTTCAAATATTCTACTAACACAAGATCTGAAAATTAGGACGCAGTTATATCTAACTGAGTTAAAATTTTATACTAAGTATGGGTTCAAATATCGTAGGTTGTGTTAGTAGATTGATAAAATGTACTCAAATGTATATTATGTCTGCAGGACTTTTGGCATAGAAAATGGGCCATGTAGGTCTACGCCTTCGTATAACCCCATATATCGGCACCTCCCGATATTCACTTTTTCGGTGATTTAAGCAAAATTCTTCGCCGGAATTATTTCAAATTTGGTATTTGAAGTTCGTAATGGATATTACAGCCTACGACAGAGAATTGTCTGTGTAGATCTTCTTGTAGCCCTCATATAACGGTACATCCCGATATTCGGTGCATTGATGATTTTAGCGATATTTTTCACCGGAATTGTTTCTAATTTGGTATTTGAAGTTCGTAATGGATACTAGATACTATGACAGGAAGTTGTATGTGTCTGTGCACGTCTTCGTATAGCCCCCCTATATCGCTACCTCCTGGTATTCGGTATTTGGATGATTTTAGCGACATTATTCACCGGAATTGTTTAAAATGTGGTATTTGAAGTGCATAATGGATACTACAGCCTCAGACAGAAAATTGTCTGTGCAGTTCCACGTTTTGGTATAGCCCCCTATAATGGTACCTCTCTATATTTCGTATTTTGATGATTTTAGATACTTTATTCACCGATTTTTCACATTTGAATTTTGTAATGGCTTATAGTATTACGGTATTTTTAAGATTTTTTAACGGATTTTATTTTTTTTTTTTGAAAATTGCCAAATTCGTTCCAAATGATTGAGGATTTTCAAAATTCCCCCGGCCGAACTTACAGCTTTTTTACTTGTTTTTCTATTTTAAGAATAAATTTTTCAATGTTGTCTTCGAACTTCAATTAAGCTTCAGTAGATGCGGTTCCATCTACTATCTAGACATTAACATAGCCGTAAGAGTTAAATAGTACGATCTAGGCGTCCGATTAAACGGTCCTCGAACTAAACGGTACACCGAACTAGCCTTTAAATAAGTCCATTGTTACGTCTTGATGAAACCACATGTCATGCAAGTCAAGCTTATGCTTTTTGGACAAAAAAAAAGTTTCATATGACCTCCATTCACAGTTACATTACGATTACCAGCATATTTCAAGAGGTACGATCCAAAGATTAAACCAGCCCATAAACAGCACCAAACTGTGAGTTTTTATGGATACATTCTACTTACACCATTACCCATTAAGCCAAAAAAAAAAAACAACTTCGTCACTTTCCAAGAGCTGATTCGCCAAAAATTCTGCGTTCAAAATATGGACGACAACAATGCTCTCACCGTTTATCATTGCAAAATCTGTAAATGTTGTCCCATATCGTTTATAGAGTTTGAGTGAAAATACTGGAGTCCCTCAAACATAAAACATTAAAGACTGAATTTTAATAAAAAAAACCTATGCTAAAGCCAAATCCTCGATATAACAGCTGTCTTTGTTCAGTCAACACCATTCTAGCAATATTCGTTCAAAATGCAATTCAATTTACTCTAGATCTTTGTGCAATGGTACAATATTTAGTTCAATTTCCTACTTTTGGTACGTTTTGGTCCAAATTCATTTAAACCTTTGGCAATTTCGAACTTTTCCTATATTCTTTAGTGCAAACTTGCCAAAACCTGTTTTTTGTCGGATTTATAATGACACAGTATTTCAGACATATTGGAACTATCAATATCTATCTGGTACCTCCCCCATGAAAGTTCCAAAATTTACAAAAAAAAAAAAAAATAAGTAAAAAATATTCGGCCGGTCCGAACTTTTAATACCCTCCACCTTAGGGTAAATGAAACATTTTTATATAAAAGTATCTGCATTCAAGCGTGTTTCACTATAAACTTCATATACCACTAAGACGGTTTCGATAATGCAGTTAAGCTTATCAAAAAACCATAGAGTGAGGCCATCATATAAGGACATACCAAAACAGAAACCTCTAAATGCAATTTTATACTTCAAGGATTGTCATCTATCAAATCTTCTAAAATACCAAATATTAAACAAGACTAGGATTATCAAAATACCGAATATCGGTGGGTATGTGCGCTATAGGAAAGCGTGGTTCTAAATATTCAATGTTCTGCAACCGGGCTAGAACCCACTATGAATTATAAATACCAATTTTTTATCGAATATCGGTAGGTACCGTTATATGGGGGCTATACCAAAGCGTGGACCTATACATGCAATGTTTGACCACCGGAGCTAGAATTCATTATGTCCCACAAATAACAATTTATAGAGAAATTCTTTAAAAAATGTGGCAAAAATCATCAAAATACCGCATATCGGGAGGAACTGTTATATGGGCACTATACCAAAGTGTGGACCAAGATAGCTCATTTTCAATAACAACCATCCTAAATACAATACAAACTGTTCTGCCAAATTTTAAAGCTCTATGTCAAATAATGTTGGCTGTATCGCGATTTCAACAGACGGACAGACAGACATACCCACGGACATCGTTAAATCGACTAAGAATTTTATGCTGATTATGAATATGTATACTGTATGGGTACTACGACGAATATTTAGAGATCTTACAAAAGGAATGACAAAGATAGGGCATATTATCTTTGTCATTCCCTTTGTAATATCTCTTTCCAAGATGGAGGGCATAAAAATTAAAATTCTCAAATGGACGATGGGAGCACCCAATGTCTTTCTTAAAGTCTATGCTTTTCCATCGATTTTTTTAATTTTTAAATAATATTCACATCAAACTTATGTCAGGAGTGAACCTCCCTCCCCGATGTATAATAAACTCACATGAAGTACGGCTAAAATGTGTTTTGTGATACTTATGAATTCCTGGCGTTTAAGTAAGACTTTGGACTTTGATTATTGTGGGACCTATTAGTTACTCATTTGAGTGTTAACATTTTCAAGAAAAATAATTATCGTATTGTTATCAGTAATATTGCCAAAGCCCCACTATACCCAAAATGCGCGTCCTCCGAAGACTCTTAATATGAAAATTTCAAAAAATGGTGAAGAGGGCAATTTGAAAATTTTATAACACAACGTTGATATCCGAGGTCTGTATTTTAAGCTCTACTTTCATAATCTACTGATTTTTTCTTGTAATTGCTGTAAAAATAGAAGTTTGTCGCACAGTGTAAAAATCATAACTCCTATTAAATGGGATTTTTTCCCAATTCCCTTCAAACTTCGGACATTGCAAAATTGGTAGCAACATTAGATGTAATGCAGATCTATTCTATTTTTCGTAGTATAAAATTTCTAAAGACCAAAATACCAAACTGAAATTTTGAGACAAGCATTTTTTAGACCAACATCCAAAACTGGAGTCTTGGTGGAATTTTTTAGATCAGCATCCGAAACTGGAGTATTGGTGGAATCTTAAAAATTATGTGCCAATATGGTAACCCATTTTTCTTTTCTCTTTGTGAAGAGAGAAGAAGATGATCGAAAAATCGTGATATGATTTTCGTAATCTGACATAATACCGGCTGTTATTTTCCACATAATAATTAGCACCTTCTTATGTCATGTCAACATGGCAGACAGAGCTTTTTATAATCCAAATAAATATTAAATCATAGTCTCATTATGTAAAAGAAATTAGCACCCCGCCCCCTCTCTTTATCTAGTGAATACCACGAAGTGGAAAATAAAATCCAGCAATCATCTAAGCAAATAGAGAAGTGTGAAAGTTAAACGAAAGTTGATGTGGTTATTGACAAAAAGTTAAGTTGCAAATGTTGTGATCACGATTTTCCAAAGACCGGGGAGGGGGAGCGAGTGCGTAATATGTGTTACGAAAATACCCCTCTCCTCCTATTTCTCCCTCCCATATTAGTAATTAACACTTTCACTTTGGATTATCTGAGAGAGGGGGAATGAAAAATTATACAATTTCATGGCTAATCTTTTGAATACTTTTCTTTCCAATTCCAGATGCTCAGTGGGGCTGGACTGCCATAGCCATTGCTTATTTGATCAAGATCAAAGTTGTAATTGTGGCCTTCTTTTTGGGCAGTGCCGTCTACTTGGGTCTCCGCTACTTCTGGCCCCATAAATGTCAACCTGAAATTATTTTGGATCATCCACCACCGTAAGTTTGCTATAGACCCAAATTTCTTATTCCTGGTAGACTTTTTAATCTCTCTCTTTCTCTCTAAAACCCCTAGATCGTTCTCTCACCATCACCATGACCACATTCCATATTCCTCGGATCATTCGGAAATCATTAGCTCATCATGGGGACCCAGCAGTCTAGATACTTCCTTCGAACCCTACTCAGCCTATGCCGGATCCTATGCCAGTTCAGATGTTGCCCCTCCTGATGTTTCTTCGCCCGATAGCCACACTTATCGGATAAAACGTGAGGTAAAAAATGAGAAGCAGGAGGGTAAACAAATGGGTCCATCAATCAGCGAGGAAAGGTAAGTCATAAAAAAATCCCCAGACCGAGGATCCAACAATCACATAACGCCAATTTAATTTTCCTCCCAGAATCGGCAACTTCATGTTCATGTTCCTCGGCTTGGATTCCGCGGCCTGCCGTCGCCGTTTCGTCTGTGAAATGGAATTCCGTTCCAAGAACAATCCCCTAACAGCCATGGCTTTCCGGGTGATTGGACGCAGTTTCTTTGCCAAATACACCAACGATCACAATGAAATGGGCAAGGCCAACTCCTTCGAGGAATGTGCCGCGGTCAATAGTGAGTGTGTTTTCATTGAAAACGATGTGGAAGGAGGACAGGAAGCAGCCAATGAAGAATCATCAAATAACAACAATGAAAGTGAACACAATGAAGAAGAACAAGAGCATCACGAAGAATCAGAAAATCAAGCGGACAATGAAACTCCAGCGGAGAATGAGGACTTAAATGTCAATTTGCCCACAGAGGATCCGGCGAATAATTCTCTAGAGAGTAATAACATCGAAGAGAGAGCCAATTATCAGAATTTAATGGCCGAAAGAAGAAATTCCTATTGGAGACGTCGATTGCGGGGAGATCGCCAATTTTAGAATTTAGACTAGGAACGAAAATGTGTCACGAAGAGTATTCGCATTTCTGTTAAATGTGAACTGGTTTCACACAAACAACAACAAAAACAAAATTAGTTTAATTTTCTATTTATTATTATTTATTTGTTATTAGTACTAAGTTGTAATAAAACTTGCCTTAATTAAATATAGAGATGCCTATACATAAGTTGGGAGGGATGGAAATCGGGCGATATAATCAAATTATACAGGTCTTCTATGAATCGAGGAAACTAGAAGATGCATCAGAGGACCTTTTGGTCTTCGATGAGAAGACCCCATGGTGTTCGATGAGAAGACCCTTGGTTGTTCCATGAGAAGTCCCCTTGGTCTTCGATGAGAAGACCCTTTGGCCTTCGATGAGACGACATTCTGGTCTTCTATGAGACGACCTTCTCGTCTTCTATAAGAATACCTTCTGATCTTCTATAAGAAAACCTTCTCGTCTTCTGTAAGGCCTTCTGCTCTACTATAGGAAGAGCTTCTGGTCTCCTATGAGAAGACCTTCTTATATAAAAGACTCGAAGAAGACCTTCTGGCCTTCTATATGAGAAGAACTTCTGCTCTTCTATATGAGAAGAACTTCTGCTCTTCTATATGAGAAGACCTTTTGGTCTTTGGTTTTGGTCCTCTGTAAGAAGACCTTCTGGTATTCAATGAAAAAACCTTCTAGTCTTCTATGTTAAGACATTCCCGAAGAAAACATTCTCGTCTCCTATGGGAAGAGCTTCTGGTCTTCTGTGAGAAGACCTTCTCATACAAAAGAACTGAAGAAGACTATCTGGCCTTCTATATGGGAAGACATTCTGGTCTTCGATGTGAGAAGACCTTCTGGTGTTTGGTTTTTGGTCTTCTATAAAATAACCTTCGGGTCTCCTATGAGAATACCTTCTTATATTGAAACCCGAAAAAGACCTTCTGGCCTTCTATATGCAAAGAGATTCTGGTATTCTACATGAGAAGAACTTCTGGTCTCCTATGAGAAGACCTTCAGGTCTCCTATTAGAAGACCTTCTGGCATCCTATAAGAAGACCTTTTGGTCTCCTATGAGAAGACCTTCTCATATAAAAGACAAAAGAAGACCTTATGGTCTTCTATATGAGAAAACATTCTGGTCTTCTATATCAGAAGACCTTCTGATCTTCTCTGTGGGAAGACCTTCTGATCTTAGGTTTTTGGTCTTCTATAAGAAGTCTTCTATGAGAGAACCTTCTAGTCTTCCATGAGAAGACCTTCTGGTCTACCATGAGAAGACCCTCTGAATAACTATCGAATAATACTGTATAGCCTCCTATATTTTTAAGGCAGCTTCGACTCTTTTAGCGGGATATTATATAATATTTCCCATAGTTCTTTTTTTATTTTTGAAAGAAAGTTTCGAAATTTGTCTCATCAGTTCTTCCCAAAGGTTATCACTAGGTTAAAGATCGATAGACTAGCTAGGCCAATCAACAATTTTCATGCCGAGCCATGCGTTCACCAACTTCGATGATTGCTGTGGGTCATTATCCTGCGGAAATGTTCATATTACTGGCATATCTTCCTCCGCATATGGTAGCATGACAGTTTCCAATACCTCCTTGTACACAAACCAATCCATTGTGTTCTCAATTAGATGTATCGGACCTACATCTTCCCATAAAAAGCAACCATGAGATTCTCTCGTCCTTCTCTCTTTACAGTAAATCTTACATGAAATTCCTTTCCTCTCAGTCGGCGGACATTCCTTTCTGCGTCGTTACCAAAGAAATTGATCTTCCTTTTATCATTCCATAAAATATTTCGCCACTATGTTTTTTCTTCAGGTCCGCATCAGGTTTTATGAGCCAAAGCAAAGTTATTCGTATCTTCCAATTGATTTCTCCAAGCAAAGGAACCTCCCGAGCTTTTCTACCCGGTAGATTTGCAGTCAATGGTCTTCGTCGAACTGTTCGGGATGATTCAACATTCCCCATTTCACCTGCAATGGCTCTGTAGACTTGAATGGATATCTTTTGTCCAATGTTACTATTCGAGTATCTCTCACTGTAGACGTTTTTTAGTTGATCCGCATGTTTCAATATTTTTCCGACTGATACTCGTTATTGTTAACTAAATATTTTATTTTATTTTAAGCATGCATTCCGAATAATTTTTTTAGAAAAATCTAGAATTAATCTAATTTGTGAGTAGTATTTTTTCCAATCGAAAATACGTTTTTTTATGACATCATATGTTTTTCATTTCTGCGAGAATAGTGCGGAACTTTTTTAAATTATTATTTATTTTAACCAATATCAGCCACTGAAAACGTTTAAATTTTAAGCTCCACTTAATTACTTTATATTGCGCTTCAAATGATGCTACCACAAATTTATACTGATCGATTTGCTTCTGCTCCATATTATCTTAACATAAATTCTATATCCGCAGAATAACATAAACCTTTCCCAACATTTGAAAACGAGCAAAAAATCAAATTTCCCATCAGAAAACATAACCTCATTGTAAACAATAATTATTTTAAGCAGAAAACAATAATTATTTTAAGTACCTAATTGTTAAAGTGTACAAGTACAATGTGATAAATAATTCGCAATAACAAACAAACAACTTGCTGCTCTGGCTGGCTTGACTGACTCTGGCAGCAATGAAACTGAACACGTTTCCAACCAACAACATAACCTACCAGTTCGTCAGAGTCGACAATAGCGAGCAACAGACGGAAAAAAATATTATACCTCAGTGTATCAACACAACAACGACCTTCTCTTTTTTGCTGTTTTTGAAATTCATTCAAAATCAAACAAACAGCAAGCAACAGCAACACACAAACGAATAAAAACGAGCAACAACAACGAGTCATAAAAAATATAAAAACAAAAATATACAAGAAGACACATACGTACATACACACCAAAAACCTTGCTGCTGCTCTGAACAGCCAACGAACGTTGTGAGACAACAAAAAATATTTTTTAAAAAGCCGAAACCAATCGACTCTGAGCGCCGTATACAAAAAAGAATGAGAAGTCACATTTTGCGGGATTTCAATGTGCGAAGAAACGAAACAAATGCATGCATGCACGGCAAAACAACAATAACAATCACAATATCAACGATGTTACTTACTCACTCGTACGGTACGACAGACGACCTCGAGAGTGAGTGTAAGGAACTTGTTGTACAGAGCACCACACGACGACGATACAACAACGACAACAACAACAACAAGCTTTTACCAAAATAAACAGAGCAACAGAGACCACGAAAGCCAACACATCCCCAAAGGCAAGCTGTGTGTGTGGGTAAGAGACAGAGAGCAAGAGCACTTTAGTTCATTGAGAATAAAAGTGAGAGAAAGAGAAATCTCACTGAATAGTAGTAGCCGTCGCCGTTGTAGTAGTTGTAGTTGTAGCAACATGACATTGTTTACATTGCCATGAATGAGTTTTCTGGGCTTTCGTTAAATTGTTGAGGTTGGCACTGGGCTGTGTGACTGTGACGATGATGACGACGACGCTGACGCCGCAGCCGATGCGTCGCAGTACGACTCAGGGCAGCAAACACTTAATAATTCCCTTGTTGGCTGTTTGATTTTCTTAGTAGGCTAATCATGTGTTTTGCTTTTCATCACTGATTCATTTAGCAACGGCACGGCATGTTGTGCTGGTGACCGGCTGAATGGATGGTTGGTTGGCTGGCTGGCCAACAAACTGCTCGACTTGTCTGTTCACAATGAAGGGGCGGCGGCGGTGGTGGTGGTGTTGGCTGTGTGGGTAAAAACCGGCAAAGGCATGCACAAACACGCGTCATAATATGAGAATTTTTGCGGATTATAATGAAAACCGGCAAGCACAACACAAATTTGCTTTGTGGTGAAGTATTGGCGTGATGGCTGTTGGTCGTTTGGTTGGTTGGAAGCAAAAAATTTATTCACACGCTTCAAGTACCGAAAAGACACCATAGTCGAGAGCGTGTTGTGAATAAACGGCAGTGAATTGTGTACTTGACTTGGGGCAAGATTTTTCATCCAAACGAGTCAGCAGAGTTCGTTGCAGTTTGTTGGCTGAATGACTGACTCTGAGTGCTGGGTTGGTTGCCGGCAAACAATAGTAACTGAGCTTGAGGCGAGCGAAGGAGCGAACAAAGTGGTTGGCATGGCGTGATTGGTGTGGATGAATGAGGATGGAGGTGGGTTTATGGATTATCGAAAAAAAAGGCGTTTGAAGGCGACTGGTGTTTTGTATGACGGCGATTGTGGTTCGATTTGTTTGTTGCTTTCATTCGCTTGATATCTAACGAATTTGCAGCAAATAAAATGATTTCTATTATTTGGACAGACGAACTTATTTTCGTTGTGAGAGAGTGGGGGGGAGCTACACGGTATTTTTGTCGGCGACAAGGTATTAATGTCGGTTCAATTTTGCTAAAAGTTTTAGAGGAGGGGGAGGAAATGTTGTTGCTGTGGCCTGCGATTAACTCGTTACTAGTGTGTGCTCGCATGAAAATTCGTTGAATTTCTGCGCAGCACATTTTGCACTGCTGAATGGGAATAAATACCACCGAACCGAACGAACAAAGATGTTGACGAGATGTTAATGGACTACGATTTTCTTCGGTCATTGTGTTGTTGCCAGGAAAAAAATAAGGCATTTTGGATGCTCTATTTGTTGGATTCGAAGTGGGGAAGAACCTGTTACAATATGATGATGATGATGGTGGTGGTGGTGGATTCACAGCACAACTAAGCTTTACGCCGTCGTTACGGTCAATGATGTGATGGCGACACCGAAGACTGTGACTTGACTGTTGCTGCTACATGCAACTAACTCTATGCGACAAAATACCCGTCTCGATACATTCCATCTGTCTCATTGCTGGTTCGTTCCTCCTCTATTGTTGTTATTTGTTTATTTACACTGGAGCGGGCAAAACGAAACAAAAAGGATTAGCAACACCAACAACCACCGTGTGCGGGACGGGACACAACACATTAAATGATTGCTATCTCGGTCGGTTTCGGTTTATTTTACCACCACCATTTTGTTGTTCTTGTCGTTGTGAAATCTGGCAAATAAAACGCCAACTATTTAGCAACGTCGACGGTGACAACAGTTCAGGCTCTCAGCATAGATGAGTAGGCGAATGAACGAACGAACAATGTATAGTACGACACAAACTACCATTGACAGGCGCTACATACCGAAACGAGAGAACGAGTTTTTCACACGACTCTTAGTGGTTGATTTTACACAAAATGTTGTTCTTCAGACCGTAAACAGCTGTATGAATGAATTGATACGGAGGGTGATCTAGAAAGTTGGGGAAAAATTAAAGAATTAAAAAAAATAAAGTGGATTTCAAAGGAAGATATTTGAGGATATTTTTACCATATTTAGATTTGAATATTTATGTTGATAAAATCTGCAATTCAGAAAACTTATTGGTGGTATCTTAAAATATGATGGATTTGAACCAACAGGTCTTAATATTAACCTAGGTAAATACAAGTGGTCTACTTTTTTGAACCAGTTTTCTATCCTTTAGAGGGGCAAACATCTGAGGGTATTTCTAGATAGAAAATTTAATATGAAAACACCACGACCAAAATGAAAAGGGCATTCGCCTAAACAAGGTAAAAACCAAATATAAAAAAAAAAATGCGGAGCCTGGCTGAGATTTGGTGTTTCATTCACATATGCTTAATTGCAATAACTTCGAAATAAATACTGCATTCCGACTGCAGAGCGATCACATGTGAAAAATTCGCATACGATAATATGTGAGATAATAAAGGTTATGACCCACATGCACAGATATCGATGCGCTCGGTAGATGCACAAAACCACTTGAATGAAATGACAAGTAGCCCTGCAATGTTCTCCGTTCAATATTAGAATAGATAAGAATAATTGTGTGGCTGCGATTAGGTTAAGTTCGATAAGTTTTTGTAGCTCTTAAGAAACATATTTTTTTAATGAAACCCAGAATTGAATCAACAGCCAAACCATTCGGTTTTTTTCATAACCGAATAAAGAATAGGATTGACAATCGAAGAGGGAGATTGGACTCTATTCTCTCATACATTGTTCCTTCGAGCCGAATAAGGATTTGAAATAGCACCCTAACGAAGCGGTGGTTTTCATTTCTCATCGCCGAATAAAGAATAGAGTTGACAACAGAAGAGGGAGATTGGACTTAATTCTTATTTTACACATCCAGTAGAAAATGGAATAAAGTAGGTATGGAACGGGAACTGCCATGTCTGCAACATTAATACCTGACAGACAATCGTTGACTAATGGAACCCGAGCTTAAATGCCTTCTAAAGGTTGTTTTTCTAAGAGTATGTGATTTGAAAAGTAAAGCACATGAAAATAATGAAGTTTCTTGCCATTTAACATTTAAATATAATTTTGAGTATATGGCCACCACGACTATTTTCCACAAAATTCATTCTGAGGGTACAATTTTTCAAGCAATTGAGGACGCATTTCAGCAATGACACGTTGGATATTTATTTCGAAAGCGTCAATCGTTGCTAGTTAATCCTCGTAAACCAATGACTTCACGTATCCCCACACAAAAAATAATCTAGTGGCGTCAAATCACACGAACATGGAGGCTAATTAACCGATTAATTTCTCGAAGTAATGTTGAAATTTTCTTTCAATAAGTCCATAGTATCACCGGCAGTATGGCATATGGCACCATCCTGTTGAAACCACATTTCGTTTACATTGAAGATTTGGCAACAAAAATTCATTGATTAACGGTAACGTGTCATCCTTCCTAATTTTTAAAGAAATAAGGACCGATGATTCAACCGCCCTATAGACCGCCCCAAACAGTACATTTATCCGGATGCATTGGGAATTCTTGAAAGGAGAGCGAATTTGCTCTAAATACGGCAGAAAAGGTGATCTTTGTCTGATTAAATTGCCGATTTCTTCGACGTTGGCCTCAATGGCAGCAATATTTTCTTCAATACGCACACTTCTCTCTCTTTTCGGTGGCTTGGCATACAAAAGAGTGAATATAGACCGAAATTTGATAATTATGTTCTTTATTTTAGTCTCGGACGGACGATTATGTGCACTATAAAATTCACAATGTGTGCTTCAAAAACACTTTTAATAAAACACTATTTTGAAAATATATATCCACGACTTGGAAGTGTTGTTCTGGAGCTAACCTACGTCACTTTAGACTGTCAAAATAACTGTCATATCCCAAGAAAAACAACCTATAATTCTAAAAAGAAATGAGGTCTATATCAAAAAATGTAGTATTTATGGGAGTTTGATGGTACTGCTAAGGAGTATCTTCATAACACTCCGCTTTGACCCTAAACTTGAGCTTTTTAAGAGACGCAACACAGTGATCCAAGTATGGGAAATGATATTACCATTTGTTCAGTATTTTCTTAATATAATAGTTAACCTCTTCTGCGCCCTGAGAGGAGACTCAGGAGGGTCATTATACTCACGCGTGCTCAAATTGGTAGTATCGTTGGCCGGCCATAATCGAATAGTACTCGCTGAAAGTGGCGACCAAACTTGCCGCTGAATGACTTTCGAAAACTCATTCTTGCTGGGTCCATCCTAATTGCTGAAAAAAAACCCTGCTGAATTCCACTGACTGATGCCCGTTCAAAGCCTGTCGTTACCTATTATAAGGTCCTTGTTTACGATGTTTACTGAGGATATCTTTGGTTAAATAAGTTACAAGAGAGCTTTACCTTTGCCATGCATGTCATCGCCAAACCCCAGGTTTTTACCAATCGACAGCGGTTTAGAATGGACCATCTACGGACTAAATACCTTGATTCCAAATTTCTTGATTTCGTCCAAAGAGACCTATGTTATAAAGTCTATGTTACATTCCCTTTGAACCGTATGTCTGATGGTATAATTGTCTGTCCCTCAAATAACGGCAGGTTTTCGCAAACTCGTTGTGCGATTTGAAAATTCTAATTCCCAATAATTATCACACCAACCTCTGTAGCCAAAACGTACTAACGAGCGACAATAAACGAGAATCACACAAACAGAAGCAGAACCAGCAGACACATTCCAGCCAGCCGGCCATCTCGCTATTCACACAAAAGTCAGTCACTTAATTTTTGCAGAGCATTTAAAATTTATGGCGTTGATTTTTATTGCGCCAAACAACCTCAACACGAAATGCATACGAAAAATGTGTGCCGATGTACGCGACGAAGTTGGAACGAATGAAATGGTTTTGTGTTTGTGCGAGCGCGCCAGACACAAGTTCAGTCAAGCAACAACCAACCAACCAACCCACCGATCGGGACCACTCAGTCAGCCAGCCAGCCAGCCAATTTAGCGAAAAAGACCTTAACTTTTGAAAAATATTTTCTGAATCAGTCAGTCAGTCGTGCGTTGGCATGCATACCAGAAGTCAGCCAACTTGTCGGCGGCAGCAGCTATACAAAACAAATTAAAATTTATAGACTAACCAACTCAACTCGGGTTGTTGTTAATCGAGTCGAGTCATGGTGGTGGTGTCGGTGATGATGATGATGACGACGACAACGTCAGCGACAGGAAAAATAGCGAATCGGCCGGCCGGCCAGACAGTGTCTGTTCAGTGGTGGAGAAAAATAACTTGATACTACGTCGGCATTTTTGCAAAACAATGCAAAAATGTAAGGCCATAATAAAACTATGACGGCGTTGGCTGGTTGGTTTGGAAGAGAGCCATCATCCATTCAGAGACGGCGGCGACCACAGCTACAATTAACGGCCATGACAAACAAAAACTGTTGTTGGCTGGCTGACTGGTTGGTTGGTTGCGCATCATTCGTTTGTTCATTGCCTGCCCGCCTGCTGCCCCTGCTTCTTGGTTGATTTCTTGCTTATTAATCGTATCGTGTGGGGAATTAAGAAAACACCCCCTTCCGTTGATTCGTGACAACAAGACAAGTAAATAAAAATAAACGTAAACAAATTAAATAAATAATGTACGATAATAATACTACACAGAAATGCGCTCGCTAAGGAGGAGGATGATGATGGTGGTGGTGGCAACAAAATATGTTGATGGTGCACAAAACAAACAGCTTTGACGGCGGCATCTGTCTGGCTCGTCGTCGTTAAAATCTCATCGAAATCGAGATTCGATATTCGAGGGAAAAATTAGGCAAACAGCATTAATAGTAGGTGTTATCGCCGCAGAAAAATAGCCCCCAACAAAACAAAGCAGGCACGAACCAACAAAACGAAACTTGTCAGCAACGCAAAACAAAAGAGGCGCACTCGGTCAATAACACAAGCAACCAACACAGAGGCATGCATGCAGGCAACCAAACAACAACACACACTCGTTTACACTTGAAATTTCAATGAGAAAGACAGAGAGCGAGAGAGAGAGCACGAGACTTTATTTGCCGTAATGGGTGTGCTCTTTCGCTCACCCAACATGTGCGATATGCATGAGTTGTGTGTCGCCGCCACTACTCATCAACATTCGTGTTCGTCGTGTTCTTTTCAGATATCATTATTTTTACTTCGGGTTTGCTCGCTTTTTCTTTTGGGCGCCGCATCATTCATTTGTTGGGCCCGCCGTTATTAGTTTGTTTACATCGAGAACGCACGCCATCATCATCGACCGACCGCCACAATTTTTATTATTGTTTGCCGCCGTCATCACACGTTGTCGAACCAACCAGCTGACTTGTTGTGTGTAACGTTGGTTGCGGTGCTTCCACGTTTCAGCACAAGCAACAGTCATTCTCATTTCGTTTCTTGGTTGCGCCATCAACCTGACGACAACGTGTAACCGCCAATGTACTAGGCGACCAGAATTGCCATATGAGATTATAGCAAGCTGCAAAAAATGGCAAGCAAACCGATTTTGTTCCGTATACACTGGTGGTGTATACACGTGAGATAGAAGAGAGACAAAACGAACGAAGCGACAGACAACAACACATTTCGTTTCAACGAGAAACGATGAATCGAGAGGGAAAATATAGCAAATGTGTTTGAGTGGCATGGTTTGTTTTATTTGTTTTGGGGTGAGAGGGCAATGTGTAGATGAGACGTACGCAAATATGTGTGTGTGTGTAATCACACATTGAGCACTTAATCACACAGTGGGTTATATTTGAAAAAATACTTCAAATTATTTACGAAACGATTTGTTAGCCCCTAAGGTCGTCATTTTGTATACATCGGCATTCCACATACATAGTATGTATATGTGTATTAAGTTATTCATTCTGTTTGTAACTCATCGAAATAATGTTTTTTTACCCTATAAACACCCCGATTCTTAATGACAATTCCCTGGGAATTTTTTCCCTATTCCCTGTTCCCCTATTCTAAATAAAATCTCCCGGGGAATTTTTTCCCTTCTCCCTTATTCTAAATGAACTTCGAAAATGGGAAACTCTTCCCCGGGAAAAAAGTAGGTATTATGAATGTCAATAAAAGGGCGAATGTGATAACGAATTTTGGGAATAATTCCGCCAAAAAATTGCAAGCGAGTTGTGCCAAAAAATGTAAGTATTTAAAATTTTTCATGAAAAATGAAAAAAAAAACATTTATTTTTACTTTCAGGTCAAAAACAACAAACAAAAAGCAGTTAGACATTCTGCTTACCTCTATGCAATTACATAGCGATATTGCGCGAGGTTGGTTTAAGGGAGGAAAAGAGGAGCTAAACCGGGTATGGCGCAATTTGGAGGCGGAATTAAATGCTGCCGGGCCACCATCAAAAAGTGTTGCCGAGTGGAAGAAGGTATGTACCACAAAATTTGATTTGTACAATGCACAAATGACAAAAATGCAAAACCTTTTTCAGGTATGGGCCGATCAAAAAAAGTATGTACGGCAGAAGGCGGCACAAAACCTCAAATACTCCAGAGGAACTGGTGGAGGCCCCAACATGGAGCAGAAGTTTTCTGCAAACGAAGAGGCCATATACGATTTGGTTGGCATGAAGGAGTCAGTGGAAGGTGTGGCCATCAAGTATGGGTTAGGATCTTCCACTTCTACAATACAGAACCCAGAACGCCTTCCAAATGAAATTCTGGAGTTGCTAGAGCCAGACGGAGAGGAGGCTGAATGTCCTGCGGTGCACAGCAATGAAGACACTCCGCAAAAGCCGCCGGCGAAAAAAATTAAAATAAGTGGCCAGCATTTCAATACACAGGCATCCGCTCGCGACGTTCTATCAGAAGAGATAGACATTCAGAAACGTATGTTGGATGCAATGATTGAGCAGCAACAAATTTCAAAAAAGGTGTATCGTTCTATTGACCGCCTTTATGAAGTCAAAAAGGAAGAACTAAAAGAGCAGAAAAGGCACAATTTAATTATGGAAAAATTGCGGCTAAGAGAAGTGGAGGATAAAATTGAAAAGAACCGCCGACTCTTAGAACTGGAAGAACTGAAAAATAATCTAGAAAGTACCTGAATATATATATATACACATACACACAGACTGAAAACGTGCATATGAACGTACCTGTAAATAGTATTAGTTTTGTTTTTAGTTTTAGAATATGAATTTATGTGTTTTCTTTTTGTTTGTTTTTGAACATGAATTTTATTGAGTTTTTTTTTGGTTGTTTTTGAATTGTTTTTTAGTTTGTTTAAAATAAAATGTGATGCTATTCCTATGTGATAACTAATCCTATGTTTTATTATTTTAATTTACAAATATACATTAGGCTGTCGCAATATATATAAGTGATTGATTGCCGTTTATTAGTGTCTGAGTCTAAATTTAGGGGAATATCTACTACAGATTATGTCCAATATTATTTCTAATATTTTGGGCAACCGACAAATACTGCTGCGTGGCCAAGGATACTACATCACTATCACTATATTGTATGCTAATACTATCAACATGTTCAACATCGTTGACGTCAGTATTGCATTTGAAATGAATGCATATATTATGCAAGGCACAGCAAACATTTGTGATTTTTGCGGCTTTTTCAGGAGAATAGTGCAACTCCCTAGCACCAAGAATGCACCTCCATCTATTTTTCAAAACGCCATTGGTGCGTTCAACTACATTGCGGCACTTTGAATGGATTTCATTGAATTTAATTTCAACTGATTCATCCTGTGGACATCTATGAGGGGTCAAAAGCCACGGTTCTAGAGAATACCCTGCATCTCCTAGTAAAAAATAAAATATTAATTTGTGAATACTTTCTGTTGTCATTCAAAACCTTACCAAGGAGCCAATATTTACTACCGCCTGTTCGATAGACTTCCTCAAGGTGGGCTCGCAACTCGCTGGTATTCCAAATGAATGAATCGTGGCACGCCCCAGGATGCGATGCATCCACGTACTGAATCCTCAACTCATGATCACACACCTGTAATTTTTGTTGTTGTTAAAAATCAATTATTGATCATTCCGATGAATATCTTGAACACAAACAATCAGCGAAACTACTTACCAGCATAACATTCAAACTATAGTAGCCCTTCCTGTTGTAATATAAGTGCTTATTGGCGGAGGGAGCAATAATGCGGACATGTGTTCCGTCAACGCATCCTATAACGCTCGGAATGCCATGCTTTATATAAAGCGCTAAAGCAATTTTACGTTTCTCCTCTTCCGTTCTGCAGAACCTTATCCATTTTGGGCAGAGATGTTTCTCAAATATATTTATGACTTCCGTGAGAACTTTGCTAAGACTACACTGGGCCACAGACACGTCGCAATCTTTTCCTATGCCTGTTTGGTACCCGCCTTCCGCAAAGAAGCGTAGAGCCGCACTTAGTTTCACAACAGGAGAAACTGCAAATGACTTACGTTTAGGTTGAATGTTGGAAGTTAACACGCCCAACAGATACTTGAATGCCGGTTTGTTTACCCTATAATATTTTTCAAATCTTTGAAAAGTAAGATTCTTGTTAATAAATAAAATTTAATAATAGTTTATTCATGTATGTACTTACAAAGATTGAGGCAACTCAAGTGGGTTGATGGCATCGCGTAACCTTCTCCTTTCTATCCTTTGCATATTTTTCTCCTGCTGCTGCACTTCAGCGTTTTCTGCATCAGCTAGCATCACAAACGCAACACTAAACATTTTTAAATTGTTTTTTTATAGTTCTTTTTTTATTTTTAATCACTTTATGCTTTTGAAGTCATAAAAATATTTGCAAATTGTTAGCCAAACAAAACAGCTGACGCAAAACAGCTGACTTCGAATAATCGAAATTCTCTCTCCCTTATTACCATTCTCCCCGTTTGTTTAGAATAGGAGGATTTTATTCCCGGGAAAAATAATCTCCCCGGGAATAATCTCCCGGGGAGTATTCAGAATCGGGCTGAAAGTGTACATATTCTTGACCTGCGTAAAATTCTAAGAAAATTCGTCTGTTGTAATCATGTTACAATCGAAAATAACTAAGAGAGGCAGCTACAATTTGGCGCTGATTAAAAATTGTGTAAATAGGTCCACGATTGTGTATAGCCCCCAAATAAAATTACCTCCAGATATTTGGTATTTTCATGATTTTAGTCAAATTTTTTATAGAATTGTCCTCCCCTAGATGAAAATTGTTCATATAGGTCAACGTATTACCTCAGCTCTATATAATGGTACCCCCTCGATATTCGACAGTTTGATGAATTTAGTCCGATATTTCAATCGGTTTGTTGCTAATAATAGCCAACATAAATAATAGCCAACATATGCACTTGCATAAATCGACTCTGAATATGATTCTATGTTGAATGTGAATTTATGAAGGAACTATGGGTCTATTTCGTTCCTTCTGCATAACACCCTGTTCCACAGTGTGGCGTAGGTTATAAAGAACTCAAAATATCAACATTTATCGAAATTGAAATCGGGGTTTGGGGAGACTCATTTTTTAACCCAATGATACTTGAAGTAATCCAAAGCTCTCCATAAAATTTCAAAGCTCTATATGAAATTATGTATATGAGTCATGGTATATAAAGGCATTAAACACGTTTGACCTTAGAACCCACTGCATTTTTTTGGTAACGTAGCACGCCTGAAATGATAATCCAAGATCAAATGAGCATTGGAATGACTAGCAGGACGAGGTCATGTAGATTGTCTCTGGCTTGTTTCTATTAATGTGGAATGACATTTTGGACGAAGCCCTGAAATTAAAATGTACAAACATTATAATGCCAGGAGACGACGACAATGGATTTCATTCGACCCGATTATTTAAGTCGACTTTTATTTTAACTATTTCCAATGTAATTAAGAAAAAGTACAAAAAAAAAAAAAACATTAAGTTCGGCCGAGCCGAATTTTCAATACTCTCATCCTTGGGGTAAAGAAAACATTTTTATATAGTAAAAGTATCTGAATTCAAACGTGACCACGCTAAACTTCAAATACCAGCAAGTCCATTTGGATAATGCTGTTGAACTTTTCAATAATCATAAAATGGGTGAGGCCGTTGTATAGGGATATACCAAAACGGGAACCTCTATAGACAATTTTATACTTCTAGGGATGCCATCTATCAAATCTGTAAAAATACCAAATTTGAAACAATTATGTGGGTAAATGTGTCTAGGATTATCAAAATACCGAGTATCGGTGGGTATCGTTATATGCGTTCTATAGGAAAACGTGAACCTAAATATTCAATGTTCTGCTGCCGGAGCTAGAACCCATTATGAACTACAAATACCAATTTATGGACAAATCCGTGCAAAAATGTGGCACAAATCATCAAAATATCGAATATCGATAGGTGTCATTGTATGAGGGCTACCAAAATCCAAAATCGTGGACATATGCATACAATGTTTTGCCACTGGGGCTAGTACCCATTATAACCAAAAAATTCCAATTTTAAGACAAATACGTCAAAAAATGTGGTAAAAATCATCGAAATACCGAATGTCGGGGGGTACGGCTATACAAAAATCATGGACCGATTTATTTCATTTTCAATACCAACCATCCTGGACTACTGTGCCAAATTTTAAAGCTCTACGTCAAATAATGTGTGCTGAATCGTGATTTCAACGGACAGACAGACGCGCATCGTTAAATCTTACTTAGAATAGTATTCTGATCATAAATATATACACCTTAATGGGTCTATGACTAATATTTAGAGGTGTTACAAATAGAATGACAAATTTAATATTTCAACAAAATACTATGATATGCCGAACAAACAAGCCAACACTGTTTTATCAAGAATATAGCGAAATCCAACTTGATATTGCATATTATTGCAGATTTCAGAAAATTACACCATTTAAAATATACCTACAGCCAGTTCAAAACAATAAACTTACCTAGAAAGAAGAGAAACTTATTGTTAGAAATGTAGAATAAAATTAAAAGAAAATGTTTTCATAAAGAATGAAATTGAATAAATCGAAATGCGATTGAATGCCCTTAGATACAACAAATACAATCATTGTAGTTATATATTGCTATATATAATGATTTTTTTCTGGAGATGCAATGGAAGTTAGGTGCAAATACAGAACTTCAAATGCCAATTACGGCCAATATATTTGGAAAAAATTTAATACTAAGCTGCAGGATTTGAAACCCAAAAGCTTTCCCAAAATGGTAAAAAAATAATTTTCCCTCACTAAACATAGAATTTTATAAAACACAATTTGGTTTCACGATTCATATCCGCCAAATAAAAACAAGTAAAAAAGCTATAAGTTCGGCCGGGCCGAACTTTGAATACCCTCCACCACTTTGAACGAATTCGGCAATTACAACAAAAATAAAACTCTTTAAAAATTCTGTTAAAATCTTAAAAATAACGAATGTAGCCGAATGCATCATCAAAATTATCAAAATACCGAATATAGGGAGGTACTATTATACCAAAACGTGGACCTGCACAGACACTTTTCTGGCATGGGCTGTAGTATCCATTATCAACTTCAAATATCAAATTTGAAGTAATTCCGGTGAATAATGTCGCTAAAATCAGCAAAATACCGAATATCTGAAGGTACCGTTATATGGGGACTATACCAAAACGTGGACCGACATGGCCCATTTACGAACTAAACCTGCCTACTATGCATGAATTTTAGCCTTCTATCTCAATTCGTTCGAAAGATAGCGTGAGTAGAACAGACGGACAGACAGACATAAAGACTGACATCGCTAGATCGTCTTAAAATTTTACGCTGATCCAGACTATATATACATTGTAGGGTCTATTATAAATATTTCGAGGAGTTACAAAGAGAATGACAAAGTTAATATACCCTCCATAGAATAGTGGTAGGTATAATAACCTCGCATATATTCATAATTAATTAACTGAATATGCACATTAAATTTTCACTTTCTTCCCACTGTGTCGAAGATATAACAGTTGGTTTGTTTCTTCTTCACATTGTTCTTGTTGTTTGTGTTCTCATTCCTTTCTCATTCTTAGAGATGTTGTTGTTTTGTTTTGGTTGGTCAAATAAATTGGAAAGAAACGAGAAACAACACAACAAGCCAGCCAGGCCAGTCAGCATTGAAATGCTAAGCATTTTTGTTGTACAATGCGAATGTCAGCTAACAGGCGCAAAGAAAACATAAGGCCGATGATGAACATGGGGACTGCAATGGCCGCATGGTTCGGTTCGGTTCGTTCTTTTTAATTTTGCTATTCAACAATTATTATTCTTGTTGTT